GATCCACACTGCTGCATAGACCATGATCCACAATAAAATTTGACTATTATATTGCAGTGGGCTTCATAATCACTACCATTTCTTAGAATTTGTGGCCCAATCAGAATCCAATACCAATTCTTAGCTTAATATTAGCCCAAAATCTCAGGTCCATAGTTGTTTAGACTCCATTTTAATGGGGCTAAACACTGGTCTAACCATTGATAATAGAGATTTCAATAATACCCAATTACCCACTAAATTTATTGGGTCAATCATTTGAGGAAACGTTATGCGGTGAGCACGTGCCCACCTGGGCACAGTTCAATATTCATAATTTCTATACTATAGATTTATAATTTCAATATTGTAAATTCATAATTTTTATATTGTAGATTCATAAAATTTATACTTTAGATTCATAATTTCTAAACCGTAGATTCATAATTTCTATACAATAGATTCATAATTTATATACTGCAGATTCATAATATATGGACTGTAGATTCATAATTTCTGTACTGTAAATTCATAATTTCTAAACTGTATAGTTATCAAATTATGAACATATAGTTCTCTGATTTTTGAAAACAGAGTTCAACAATTGGAATCTAAAGTATAAATTTTATGAATCTAAAATATACAAATTATGGATCTACAGTATAAAAATTATAAATTTACAGTATAGAAATTATGGATATAGAACCATGCCCATGTACCCGCAGTATAATTTGCCATCAGTTGAACATAGGATTGTAATCAAGTCGAATTGGACATAAATAGTCAAATCTTGAATTAAACAATCGTTATTTCATGGCCAATGATAAGTAAATTAAACATGGTATATTAATTATTATTACTATATGCCTTGCATAATGTGGACAGCATGCAGTGTAGCGTTTAATGCAAAGGGGAATGGTAGGTGGTGCATAGTTCTTGGCCATATATGGTAGATGATGACCACCTTAATTTCGCAAATAATCTCCATCCAATGATTTTATATAAAGAGGGATAGGGATGCATATGACAACTGCATTTAGATTATATATATTGTAAGTAAGGTTTCCTCCGGGCCGGATTTTGGACTGTGCAAATATCAAATAGCACATGACCTCAATTTTTAGAGCGTTCAATATTTATTTTTGACATAGCTACTTAAAAAATAAAAAAAAATATGTAATTAATCCTGAAATTTATCAGCTTTTTCCCCAAATTACTTCTCTCCTCCAATATAATTAGGACCTAATTAATTGAGCATGTCGCATGACAAAATCGTTATGTTTCCCTAATGGCACAGATGATGTCTCAAGCCTAAATCTACAGAGATAACTTGAAACCTGAACCATTTGATCACCAGTTCACCACCAATACCGCCTGAGAAATTAATTCTCCCCTAACAGATTGTTCTACTTGCATTCCAAACAATATAGCGGCAACCCGCAGGTAGCCCAGTTTCAAGATGTATTTAAGAAAAAAAAAATTCTATTTGTTTGGACTTTTGAGATACTAAGTAGGATTCTTATGATTTGGTTTTAAAGATTGCGCTTATACTTAGGGTCTCATTTATTTACAAGAACAGGGGCACAAAAATCCAGAAACCAGTCATTCTCCCACCTTGAGCTATATATATGGCATGCATCCATGCAGCTAGCAACCATACATCTTCGATCACCATTGATGATTGTAGGGTACAAAACATGAATGCATAATCATTCTACAGGTGGCAGCAATATAATTAAGAATATCACATGGAGGGTTGGTGACCTCACCAGGCCAATTATTCATCATATTGGAGGATGATAAACTTATTGGGCATACTAGTTTGGTGATATATTGATTATTGATGTTCACAAATTTTACAATGTTAACGTTGATACACAGACACGATCGATATATAGTGTGTTATTTTTTGATGATGAAATTATATGCATTATTCTCGATTATATAATTAATGATCGAGTTTTACAATATGATGTACAAATTTTATTTATTTAAAAAAATATTCATCATATGGTAAAAAATTTCTATTAATTGTATATAGTGCTTTTTGTGTTCCAGAAGTAGTGTTTGGGGATTTGGTGGCAAATTTTAGAGTTGATCATGATCCATATAGCAATGTGAACTATAAGTTTTGTTTTAATTTTATTTTAGACAAGTTAGTTTATTTTAGTAATGATGTAGTATCATTTTAATTAATTACATTTTCTTTGATATCTAATTTTATTTTATACATACAATATTTTTTTTATGATGGCTTGAGCATATATGTCCCCTGTATGATGTATTGATATTTTTGGCAGGGTAATTAATGCCCCTAGAGGCCTGTAAAAGGTGGCGGTAATCAATTCATAAGGCATGAGGGAAAAAAAGCCAATCCAATTTGTAATAACTGCTCTAGATTCCTCTTTATATCTAGGTATATATTTCTTTAAATTATTCTTCCAAAAGGCTGAATCCCAACTTTAAGGGCATATTTCTTTAAATTATTGAGCTGAGCTATGGTTTTTAAAATAAATATATATAGAGCCATATTTAATGCGTGGTACGTATAACTATTTGAAAATGAACCAATCATTTATTCACATGTGCCATACATATGAGGACATCTCCATTAATGACTGAAAATGAGCTAAGGAAGGAAAGAAATGAAGAAAAGGGAGAAGAGGGTTGGAAAGGAGAATATTTAGGGATATAAATTTTCTTCGGAGAGACGATTGTCTCTAGAGAAAATTGACTAATAAGCGTGTGTTGCTCACTGATCGTAATGTAATATAGTGAATTTTAGAACAAATAAAAATAAATTTATTTTAGATTGAGATTAGGGATTAGAATAATCAAGGAAATAATTAGGTACAAGGATAAAATATTTGTTGGAAGCTAAGCAAATAGATGGATGCACATTTGACACGATTCAACACCTACCCTTAGTTGATGGAGTGGTACTAGTCAACTTCCTGTCATGTGACTTTAATTATAAGATGTTAACATTTTAATTTGGGTGTTTGAATTAGCCTGAAAAAACTGTTATAATTAGGACGGTTAACGAACCGAACATAAACGAACGGAGGTTGTTCGTACGTGTTTGTTTGTTAAGGTTTTTGGAGGGTTTGAGTTTGTGTTCATTTGTTAAGGTTTTTGAAAATTCTGTTCGTGTTCGTTTGTTAAGTGTTCATTAGTGTTTGTAAACGTTCACGAACAAGTTCACGAACATGTTCGTTAACATTAATGAACACTTTCACGAACATGTTTGTTAACAAGCACATACATGAACATGTTCATGATCACAAATCGTTCGTGAATAAGAAAATAATATATGTTCATAGAAAATAATCAAAGAAGTAACACAACTACAAAGAGAATACAAACAAATATTAAACGAACACAAACGAGCTTGTTCACGGCCTCTGATCTTAATTAGCAAACGAGCTTACAACTGTTCAAACTCTGTTCGTTTATAAATCGAACACTAAATTTTGTTTGTTAATGTTCGTTTACCTTAATAAATGAATATAAATGAACACTTACCGAACACGAGTAGTTTATTGAAAGCTCTTTCGCTAACCCCTCTAGTTATAACATTATATTGACCAATCACCAAGTATTAAATGAACAATATAATATATGTGAGAGTTCGATGATAATGTGGCAATCACATATTGTATTTGGTCAGATAGTTAATTAACTTGATAATTATAAAGTTTCAAGTTTTATTTTCTGTGAGGATTGTCTATTAATTAATCTTCCTAGTTTGAGTTGGTCATTAATCCGATTAAGGTCACAAGGTGAATTTTACCCAAATCGCATACTTTTGAATAGCGGCTACGAATTTTTTCGTAAATAAAAAAATTGATGATGTTACAAAATAATAATATTGAAATTCAGATCCAAAATACTAGGGGTGTTTAATCGGTTAACCGAAATTTTTAAACATTTAATCGTTAACCGAACCGAAGTTTGTGTTACCAATTAACTGAAATTTTTTAAGTTAAAATTTAAAATCCTAAAAATAACACCTAAAATAATGAATTCAATAAAATTATACATATCATAATAAATTCATAACAAAATATACAAAGACAATACCGTAACAACACTATAAACATATTACATTTAAATATTTAATACATTATATATATATATATATATATATATATAATAATTCTCTTAACCGTTCAGTTAATTCGATTAACTGACACTTTCGAATCGAATTAACGGTTAATCAAACTTTAGAAAAACCTTTAACCATTAATCGAACCGAAAAAGTTAAGTTAAAAAACGGTTAACTGAATTTTATCAGTTCGATCGGTTAACCGAAAATTATCCGAAATTTGCACACCCCACAAAATACGTACTTAATTTAAGGACCAATTTTGTATTGATTACTGTATTTAATTATATATAGTACATATAGTACTCTATAAATTAAATGATGAGTGTCAACCATCACATGTTGTTTGTTTATGTTAATTGAATGGTGGATTTATTGTACTGTGAAGTTGCATGCATGGTGGCTAGCAATGATAATAACTTCTCTATTAATTCTACGTACGTACTCAGTTAATTACTCACACCCCCACCGTACCCCCACCCCAACCCTAGTCCTAGGAATTGAATGTTATTCCTATTTATATGTTACATGCTGTAAATTTTGTATATAGGAGATGCTTATAGTGTTGGACCTAAAATATTTTATTTAAATAATACTGAAAAATAGTGCATTTTTAGCCTACGTAACACCACGCACACAATTTGTCATCAAAAGGGACGCCCATTGGACTCAACAACAAATAGTGTCAATTAAGCCGTCAGTATTGTCACACTGGAAGGATCGAGTCTAACATCTTGAAATGTGACAGTACTGACGACTACTTAAGTATGAAGAAATATAATATTAAAGTTGCACTTTATTAGGTATATATAAGTATTGGTTAGCGGTAATAAGCGTTTAATCATTACAATTGGTATCAGTCGTCACTAATCTGATTGAAAGCCTGCTGATTGCTTAGATAAGTACAAAAGAGTACAATAAAAAGCACACTAATAATCTTTATTTTTACACTTTTGGTTGCAACACTAAAAGTACAAGAAGTATCACATTTGAAAGGTGAAAGTAGATAAATTAAAAGCTAATTAAGTACAAGTTATCACGTTTTGCTTGATATTCAATGAAATGGGATATATCTCAGTATGTATATAACCTTGTGATAAAACAATTATTAATTCCACTGCACTTTGATGCGGCAACAAAGAAACATGCATGCATGCATGAATCTAGTTACGAAATTGATCGAAGAAAATTGAGACAAGGATCATGAATCCAATCAAATTTCTCCGTAAAAGGATTGACCAATGTTTCGGGAGGGTAACGATCAATGCAATCTTCCCAGACGTTTGGATCTCCCAAGTCTTTCATCACCTCCCAAACGCAGTTATTGCATTTAAACCCCGCGCCCAGGCTCAACATCAGTATTCTGTCACCTTTCTTCAACCTTTTCTTGGCCTCCATGTAGCCCAGAACGTACCATAGCCCCCCCGCCGACGTATTCCCCCACCGGTGCAGCGACATTCTGGCCGGCTCCAGGTCGTACTCGCTGAGACCCAGGCTGACTCCGACGCCGTCGATCACGGCGCGGCCGCCGGGGTGGAGGCAGAAGTGTTCGATCCCGGTTTTCATGTTCAAAATGGGCTTGCCGAGGAGGGAGGGGAGCTTGAACTTGCGGCGCTCCAAGGAGGAGACGGCGAGGAAGCGGAGGGTCTCCCAGAGGGGGATGGCTTTGGGGACGAGGACCTTGAAGTTGGTGACGAGGGCTTTGGTGGCGACTTTGGGGAGGCGCTTGGAGAGGTGGAAGCCGCGGAAGCCCTGAGGGTCCTCCACCTGCTTGCAGCACTCGTAGGCCTCGTCAATGGCGGCGATGTGGGTGCGCACCATGTGTTTGAGTTTGAGGATGGCTCGGGGTTTGAGAGCGGGGTTGTTGGTGAAGAGCATGGAGCAGCCGCCGGAGCGGAAAAGGCAGTTGGAAAGCATCATGGATCTCTCCTTGCCGCTGTACCTGCAGCATGCAATAAATTTAAATTAAATGAACCTACTTTTCACATATCAAAATTACTAGTATAGGAATCTCTATGAGTTTTACTAGTAGTTTTACTAGTAGCTTAATTGATGTTGGATAATAGAGTGTAGTTAAGAACACAGAATTGAACCCTACCACCTGTTGTATTGATGGGTTTCTTGTGGACATCAGTGTGCCACTGATTCTCTGACTTAATAAGTCATTGAATCACTATGATTTTTCTCTCTATTATACTGTTGGGTCGGGGTGCACGTAAAATTCTAAAGGGCCAAAAAATTCACCTTTTGTGGGCAAGTATTAAAAAAAGAAAAAAAATTCGTGTGAGCTCACAAATCCTTACCTGTGAGACAGGTTAGGTCAAGATGAAATGTAATAATTATACAATTATACTAGCAAATTAATACTAAATCATGAATAAAATGTTTATTACTTATATGAAAAAATGTTATATTTTTTCATCTTAGTGTAAAAGTATTACTTTTTCCACAAAAGTATTATATTTTCCCTTATAATAAGTAATTAATGTTATAAAAATATAAAAGTATTACATTTGTCCTCAAAAGTATTGTGTTTTTATTTTTTTATAAATAACAAACATTTTATTGTTAATTTAATACTCCGTATTAATTTGGCATATTGATATGAACTGATCCGACCAACTCACAAATAATGATCCGTAAGACGGTTTCATAAGTGTGTGACTCTTAAAAAAAAAAGGGTTAGAGCTTTGACTAAAAATCCTGCTTTGTTTTTTAATGTTAAATCATCCCTTAAAATTCTCGTGCATCATAACCAAAATATGACCACAAAAATTTTATATTATTTTTACCTATTTTGTCCTCATATTTTTCTTTTCTAACCAAAATTTAATTAGCCTTTATTTGTAAAGTTTTTTTTTTTTTTTTTCTCTACCGATGAAGTAATTGTAAAAATTAAATTTGTGACTTTTTAAGTAGGAAAGCTATCAAGACTATGTGGTCTTATGGTACTGGGTTGGACTTTCATTTGGAAGGTTGTGAATTTGAGTCTCAAATACTACTTTGTAATAGAGTCACTAGCATTCAAAAAAAAGTAGAAAAGTTATTTTCAACCCACTTAGCCATATGTACCGGGCACCTCACCTCTATTTATTATTATAAAGTTATGTTCTAGAGGTGACCACAATGGGTCTCCCTCAATGGAAGATTTGCCCTGAACCACTTGTCCCAAGATCAGGTTGGTGTTGAGCTAAGAAAGGATAGGATCTAGTTTCGGGTCTGAATCAGTTCTATACACGTATACTTTTTCAAAATATCATTTACTCTCATGTCTCTTTCTAAAAATAAAGAAAATGTTGAAATATTTTTGTCTGGACATTAAAAAAAAAAAAAAAAAAAAAAAGAAGAAGAAGAGTGACACAGTACAAAAATGCCACTATTTTATTTGGTAAAAAGTATATATGTTTTGATTATGATATATATATATATATATATATATATATATATATATATATATGTGAAGTACATAAACAATAACCTTGTTTTGCTATATATATATAAATAAATAAATATATAATACTTCATCGGTGCATTTTGCCTTGAGTAATTAATACTAAGCATACTCTCACTTTCTACTTTATTTTATTCTCTCAACTTACTTGACATACTTTATTCATTTAAAAAATGTGCGGGCCACATGCAATTATTTTTTTCTTCTTCATTTTCTTCTAACAAAATAGAGACACATGGTGGGAGTTTTACTCCCTTAGTCTATTTGTATCATTACAATACTCTTTCACTTTCAAAAGCTTATCCTACATCTACATCACTAAATTTGCAATTAATTTACTATTCACACTATATCCCTGCAAATCTAATCAACTTTCAAAAGTGTGCCCCAATTTCATAAACTATAACAAAAGATTAAGTCCCTCGCTCTTTGGTAAAATAGTTAGTCTATCAGCTAATTTTGACTTATTTGACCACTATTAATTGTTTATTTTGGTTAAAAAAATTAATATAAGTGTTTGGTTAATTAGTTTTTTGTAACTCCAAAATGCTAAAATTCAAAAAGTTGTTCAAAGCAACTTTTTCAATTAGTTTTTTGAGAAAAGAAATTATATCAAATAGTTATAAGCTAACAGTTAATTTACCAAACACTTTTTTACAATCAACTAATGTTATCAACTAGTTATATCCTCTATTTAACCCAATCAACGAACAGCTATCAGCTATCAACCATTTACGATACAGAGCCTAAGTATTAACAAATGAAAAAAAAAAAAAAAAAGTATTTTGCTGCCTAGCAAGCTTGCAATAGATGTAGCTTGCTATCCACGTATACATAAAATATATATATATATATATATATATATATATATATATATATATATATATTAATTCACATCTTTTAGCAAGTGGAGTTTTGGTTGGGTTGAGAACAGCCTTAGAATCCACTTATCATTTTGACAAGTTTATTATTCATTGGTCAATCTCACTATTTATGGGTTGCTTATTTTCTTTAATATATAATTATTTTTAAATTTGATTTGTTGTGTTTAATTGTATTTCTATAAATATATAAATTTTATATAATATTAATAAATTTAACCTTAATTTCAATAAAACCTCGTTAGTTGAATCAGAAACATAAAATGGTACGTAAGGAGTATATACCAATTTGCCCCTAGCGATTCCGTGCTGACAACAATAGCGTAGGAGTTCTTGTAGACCTTGAAAAGGTGGTGGACGATATCAATGGCGACGACGCTGGCGCTGCAACCCATGCCGGAGAGGTTAAACGTCTTCACGTCCTCCCTCATCTTGTACCGGTTAACGACGCGGGAGGTGAGCGACGGCGCCGACGCCAGCAGCGACACATTCACCACCAGAACATCAATCTCCCGCGGCGAAACCTTAGACTTCGCGAACAGATTGTCGAGCGTCTGAAACATGATGTCATCCACCTCCGTGAACGAGTCCTCCAGCGTCGGAGAATCCTCCCGCCCTTCCAGAACGTTAATCGGAATATATGTCTGCTCGCCGACGCCGGAGTTCACCATCGTCTGCAGCAGGAACCGGAACTCGTCGATCCCCAGGTTCCGGTTCCGGTACACCACCAACGCCGACTTGTCGGTGCTCAGGCGCCGGGCGACGTCCGTCGGCTTGTAGCACTCGTAGTTCAACATGTAACAACATTGGTGTCTCCGGCGAAGATAAGATCGGAGGATGTAAACGACAGTGTACAGGAAAAGAAGTGAATATATTGCTACCAGGGTTTCCATGTGATAAAATGAACGGCTGAGATCTATTTGTGTGTGTGTGTCTGTATGTATATATGTGTGTGTAGTGTTTGCATGCAAGTATATATGCAACAGAGTTAGATATATATATGCAATATTTTTGTTCCACTTGCAAGGTAGTTGTTGGTCAAATTAAATATGGGTGCCGTTGGAGATGCTATAATAAATACCAGTAATTTTTGTTTTGTATATTTCATATAAAGTTATAGTCTTGTGAGTTCTTTCTGACATTCTGATTGTTACAATTACGTGTATATTTAGGGTGCGTATTGGAGAGGGATTTTTAGCAATTGAGGCAATTCATTATACACTTCTTTCTTTAATTTGTTTTTCAATGACGATTTGAATAAATTAAAGAACTTGTAGTCAAACGGTATAATTGTAACTCTTTCAAATTTGAATACACAAATTTCAATTTTATTGAGGTGGGGTAGGGTGGGGTGGGGCATTGACCCTTTATGCAAAGGGAGCTTTAATCTCTTTTGCATAGAAGCTTGGTTTTCTAATTTTATGTTTCTTCATAGATAAATAGTAAGCAATATAACTTAAAAGACAAAAATAAACACACATAAAAAATTTACTTATAGGTTAATTTTGGCTTATTTCACCACAATTAATTGTTTGATTTAATTAAAATACCAATATAAATGTTTGGTTAATTAGCTTTTTGCAACTCCAAAATGCTAAAATTTAAAAAGTTACTCCAAGCAATTTTTTCAATTAGCTTTTTCAGAAAAGAAATTATACCAAAGAGCTATCAGCTAACAGCTAATTTACCAAACACTTTTCTACAACAGCTAATGTTATCAACTAATTATATCCTCTAATTAACGCAATCAGCTAACAGCCATTTAGCAAACAGGACCATACTCCATTCATCTTATTTTATGTGTCTAGTTTAGTTGATGAGACTTATTTAATTCAAGTTTTCATAAATTAAAATTAGTATATATATATATATATATATATAGATTTTGGTTCCTGTGAGGTCAGGTCTTCCCGTGCGGTCAGTGCGGCATACACCATTAGGTATGCATAAATGCACCATACAGTGTTCGAAAATACACCAGAATGAAATGTCAAAAAATACACCGCACATAATGGTGTATTTACGAACACTTTGTGGTGCATTTATGCACACCTAATGGTGTATGCTGCACTGACCGCACGGAAAGACCTGACTTCACAGGAACCTGACCTTATATATATATATATATATATATATATATATATATATATATATATATATATAATTAAAAGTACTATTAAACACAAAGAAAAAATATCAAAGAAAAAATATCAAAGAAAATAAGTAAGGATGAAAGAGTTGTTTAATCAATGAATAGTAAATAGGACACGTAAAATATGAGAGAGAATAATTTTTATGTGAAAACACAAAAAGAAAAAATTACACCCTTTTAGAACAAAGCAAAGCTAAGTCAAATGGGTTTCAATATTCTATTGTGATAGAATTGTTATGTTGTGGGGGTAATTCTAGCCAAGTTTGTCGGACAGTTAGCTTGGTAGTCATATAATTTCAAGTTCTAACTCTTTAGATTTGTTTATTGGCACCTAGGTGGTTCATGTGTGGTCTTTTCCCCATTTTATGAACTAATTAATAGAGGGAGGGGTATTAGGCACCCCCATCATTATTGTTAATAAAACACTTAATAAACGAAAATAACAACACAAAACACGTTTATCAATGGATATGAATGATATGAATCGTCTATATACATTTGATAAACCAGTTTTGTGTTGTTATTTTCGTGTATAAGTGTTTTAGCATTGTTGGGGTTATTGGTATGCTTTTACCTCAATTAATTCGTGAATTTATTAATACAAAAATATTGAGTCCGCACCTTCAAAAGGGTGATCGAATAATTCACATAATTGGATGGTCACAAGTTCGATTATATTTTTACCATTATTTTCCTATTGAACTTGTTGGATAGAGTCTTTAATATTTAATGCAATTTACTTCATCTTACGTCTTTTGTGTGATTTCAGATATCGAGTTTATAGTACAAATGGATAGTAATAGGTCGTTGTCCACATCAAGAATCGAACTCAAAGGCGCATACAAGTAAGCAAGTGTTAAGATCCACTCAATAATGAGTGTATAGTATAAATGCATATGCATAGATAGTACACATCAAGAATCCAACTCAAAGGGGTATACAAGTAGGCAAGTGCTAAGATCCACAAAAAAAAAAAAAACAAAAAACAAAAAAAACAAAAAAATAAAATAAAATAAAATAAAATAAAATAAAATAATATATATATATATATATATATATATATATATATATATATATATATTAATACCATCCGAGGTCCTCCGAGTATAGTGGTTTTGCCACGTTTAGTCCTAAACTTTCAAATTGACCATCTGTGGTCCTTCGACTTTCAAATTTAACCATCCATGGTCCAAGTTAACCACCCATGGTCCTTCGACTATTAAATTTTAACCAACCATGGTCCTTTTAAGAGGACCACGACTGGTTAAATTTCGAAACTTGAAGGACCATGGGTGGTTAACTTGGACCACGAATGGTTATATTTGAAAGTCGAAGGACCACAAATGGTCAATTTGAAAGTTTAGGACTAAACGTGGCAAAACCACTATACTCGGAGGACCTCAGATGGTATTAACTCTCTCTCTCTCTCTCTCTCTCTCTCTCTCTCTATATATATATATATATATATATATATATATATATATATATATATATATATATATATATATATATATATATATATATATGAATAAGGGTCAAATAGGCCATCGAACTGCACACGATACAACAATTAGGCCACTGAACCTAAAAAACCAACAATTAGGTCCCTAAACTAATCAATTTCAAACAATTCTTTCAATTTAAAGATTTCCAACAGGTCATCTCCCAAATTAATTATTTTTTTAAAAAATAAATTTTAAAAATTAATTATTTTTAAATTAAATTAAAAAAGAAAAAAAAAAACTAGAATCCAGCCGGAGACGACCGTCTCCGGCCGATTTCTTCATCTCCGGCAGTGGAGACGAAGAGTTTCTTCGTCTCCAGCCATGGAGATGAAGAAGGTTTCGTTCTCCATGGCTGGAGACGAAGAAACCGGCCGGAGACCGTCTCCTGCCGGAACTAGTTTTTTTTTTTTTTTTTTTTTTAATAATTAATTTTTAAAATTTAAATTTTAAAAAATAATTAATTTAGAAGTATGACCTGTTGATCTGTTGGAAACCTTCAAATTGAAAGAATTGTTTGAAATTGATTAGTTTAGGGACCTAATTGTTGATTTTTTAAGTTCATTTTTTAAGTTCAGTGGCCTAATTGTTTTATCGTGTGCAGTTCGATGACTTATTTGACCCTTATTCCTCTCTCTCTCTCTCTCTCTCTCTCTCTATATATATATATATATATATATAATTTATGCCCCTTTATAATATGTCAATTATCAATGTCACTCCTGAATTATTAAGGGTGTAAATGTTGTCCCTTAATTTTCCTCCCGTACGGTACAAGAGGGGCAATATATATACCATTTTAAAAATTGAAAGGCAACATTTATCACACTAATAATTCAGAAGCGATATTGATAATTGACATATTATGGAGAGACATAAATCTCAGTTATTCCAAAAAAATGTAAACAAAAAATCATAAGTGGCCCATGACAACTGGTGGGATTTGATTAATGGGTCATTTTCCCTTCTTCTTGAGCTCTACATTTTTCTACTTTCTGCAACATTAATTGCTCCAACCACCTTGACATTATTATGGCCAAATTGACGAATATATACTAGGCAGGTAATGTTCAATCTGCAGTCCATGAGCCTACGGCACCTACCCACTTTCTACTGTTCATCAAGTGGTAGTTTTTCCTTAATTATATATATGATAATTGAAATATTAATTTCCGGTCGGATTTAAATCGATGCATCTTACTGTGCATTGAGGTGACAATTAAAGGCTGAAACTTAACGTTGTTCATTTATACTAAACTCTATTACTCAATAGAATGTTGGGTGAAGGATTAGAGGGGTAAGTCCAGCATCCTGCTACCGAAATGCGACACTTAGAAATTTAAGTGTAAAAAAAATAAATTAAAGTTGTTTTAGCTTTTTTACTAGTCATGCTTTTTGACGTAGTTGTAAGTACTTGATTTGATAATAGCATCACGGCAAGTGTTTTGAATTGAAGGAGTTGTTACACATGCAAGTATAAGAAGATAAAGTTGCGTTTTAACTATTAGTTATAACTTTTGCCATACGTAATTATAAGCATTTATCCTAACATACAACATTCTTGCTTTGTGCTAGCTCTTTCGTTCTTGGTTAATCAATTTATTACATTCACGTACTATCCATATATTAATTCATTTCCGGTATGAATTCAATTAGTACATATGAATCTTACTATAAAGTATGTGAACTACTTTTAACTATTTGTTCAACTAACTTGCAGGACTTTGATCTGAGGGAGGGAATTAGGTGGAAAGGAATTGTAATTTTATAGGAGAGTGGTAAATTTCAGTGGTTGGTTTGCGGGAATAGAATTAAAATCTTAAATGACCAAATTCAAATTTTGCTTTTCAAGATTTATGTAACATGTGGTAAATAAACTCTAGAATTACATAACTAAAGCAATAAAGTAAATTAAAATAGATAAGGGAGTTTTGAGAAAACAAAGTTGATTGAGGTTCGTCAGACACAATAATCCCTTCACTGAATAGTAAGCATATCACATCAACTCAGGGTGCTTCATCCCAAAGCCAAGGATACCGCTGTTTAAAGATGAATGAATCTCTTCCACTCAACCAGACTCTCAGGTTAATGCACTCATTGGTTTAATTTATTAGTCCATTTGGTTGTAATAATTTTTTTTAAGGAAAAAAAGAAAAAGAAAAATATTGATAGAGTTATTAGACATGTTGGGACTGGTTGATTTGAAAAATTGTGAACTTATAAACTAATGATTAGTTGTAAAACAGTATTAGTATAATTTATCATAGGAAAGATTTAGATACTTTTTACTTTGTTGTTGCCATGTTAAAAGTAAAAATAAGGGGCAATTTTAGAAGAAATTAT